TATGTTAAATTTCATATATATTGTAAAAAAATATCCTACCTGTGGAATTTTATAGATATCCAACATGGTGGAGACATGAAAAGAGATTTCAGCATCTAATCCCCCAACAACAGATACTAAATTATTATGGATATTGCAGCTGTAATTGGGAATCAGTCTCTCCACTGATGAAAGAAACAGCATTGTAGCCTGGTAAGTCCTTTGAGCATTGTCATAGCTGTCATAAATTTGGAAACCCAAGGTGAGATTGGGTAAGATTTGAAGGTTTTCATTTATCTCCTTTACAGCAAATGCCATAGCCAGGATGTGTTGGTAATTCTTAGCAACGGGGCTACAATGAGAGAATATGAATAGAGGTAAATAATACCAGACTTCATTCTCTGCACCTCTTGAAGTAACAATACCCAAATTAACTTTTGAATTAATACAAATTGACAGCAATATATAACCTTTCCCCAGATATCACATTCAGGTATATACACACACACATATATGGACATCATCCATTAAACTTTATTAGGCAACATACAAAAGGATGGGGATAAAAGCATTCATATATGTAAATGTTTTTACTATTATTTGTACTGATTATATAAATGAACTGAATTACATTTAAAATAAGGAACTGAAGGAATCTGAAAAGTACTTAAACTCAGAATAAATGGTTTTCAAAGGTACAGCTATGTAAGTTCCTGCAAATAGCTAGGATTACACATCTTAGCACTTCTATAAAAGTTTCTGGATTACTTGTGTTTCTGTAAGAAATAATATTGCTTTTCCAGAGGATTTTTAAAATTATCAGTAAATATTTCCCGGGCAGAAAACCATATTAAAAACCATATTGAAACTGGAAGGGCATTTTAAAAAAAAATATGTAAGAAGGTAGCATCATGAGAGACCAGGCAGGAGAAAGCAATGAAGACAATGGAAATATTACAGGAAGAAATAGGTTTAAATTAGACTTCTACTATCTAAGCATCCTCTTATTTAATTCCTACCCATCTTCAAAAAACTGGGAATCAAAGTCACAAATAAGGAGGACCTTAAGATTTGGGAATGTTGCTTTAAACGTGTGAATACTTTCCAAACTATATTTCTCAGTATCTCCTCAGTGTTAGCCAATAATTAGAGCCAGAAATTACTACTTCAGTGACTGAAATCTCTGAAAGACAATTAAATGGACAATTCCTTACAGAAAATCTCCAGGCATTGCTGATGGGGGAGGTTTGGTTAAACTGATTTGTTTGAAGACAATTGCAGCCTGTGAAACAATGCCACCAACCATAAGGTCTCCCAGATGATGGTATTTGTGATATGGAGTGTGTGGATTATACATGCTGCACCTGTCACTCTTGCACACCATGGGAGGAAGTAGTACTAGTAGGAACACTAATAAAAATGCCATCCTCAGTGCAAAGGCAAATGATAAGATTCTCTTTTCTTCTAGATCCCAGCCATTACTGTATCTGTGGTTAATACTGCCTGACTTGAATGGTGCCTCAATCTCCTGATAAAGTCTGAACCTTGGACTGCCTAGCATTAGCTTTATGGATCCTTACCTAGCCATAATCTTGTCTCTTCTTTCTAGCTCTAAATGGCATCGGTGTTTATGCATATATATCTCAAGAGAAAAAGAAGCAACAATCTTACTTGTGAGTGTTGTTAGTGAGCAGTGAACTCCATAGTGAAGAAGCAGAATAAAATGCAAATCTTTAGATTCAAAACAGAAAAGCTATTATTAAGTCATACATCCAATCCCAAAGGATTTGCGGATGAAGTAGCATTCCCCTTAGGTTAGTAAAGAGAAGTATGTTAATAATATACAGGTTCTGAGTTACATTTGAAAGATTTTCCCCCTCCCAATTTATTAACTTGGGAATAGAAAAATACTGCCTTACCTGGACAATTTCCATTTACCTGTTTGTGACAGTCATTCATGTCTGCAATAAATAAATAAATGGTTTTATCTCAGAAAGATGATGAAATACAATTCTGAACTTTGGTAATATTTGGTTTTTCTAATTCCAGGACATTGCTGATATAATCCAGACTGTACAGCTTGCACGCTACTGTATGGGATCCTCAAAGATTTACCAATGTTATGCCTTTATTGCACAAGCTGTAATGACTCCCAGTTTCCTTCTCAGTCCGATACAAGATGCTGGTTATCAGCTCTAAAGCCTTGCATGACATGCGACCTGGTTATTTGCAGAATTAGCTCTCCCTAAGAATATCTGCTTTGCCACTAGATCTGATGGAGTATGCATACACAAAGTCACTTTCCTGAAAACCTGCTACCTGGTGGGACTTTGGAAATTGACCTTTTCAGGGACTGCCTTAGCTCCTGGAAAAACTTCCTTTGGGCCCACACCCTTTGAGCCTTTTGGAAGGCCATTAGGACCTGGCTTTTTAGCAAAATGCTGGAGAAAGATTCTATAGATCAGGAGTCCCCAACCTTTTTTGCTTCTGCAGATCGGTAGCAGTGGCTTCAGCGGCACCCACACCTAAATCCCGCACATGAGGAAATGAAGCTTTGTGTGCTTGCCTGCCACTTTGGCAGCCTGGTTCCCAATGGGCCGTGGCCAGGTAGCAGGCCACAGCTGGGGGGGTTGGAGATCCCTGCTATAAATGGAAAGTAAAAATTCTATAAAAATAAAATACGGATTTTATATATATATAGAAAGTATGGAATGAGGGCAACTGGAGCTTGCTGCAATGCCTCTCAAGAGGACATTTAAGGTGCAAGGTTGTTGTTTTATTGTTTTTACTGTTTTATGGTTGTTTGATTCTATTTATTTATTTGTTTATTTATTGGTTGTCCATCTTATTCATTCATTCGTTCGTTCGTTCGTTCGTTCGTTCGTTCGTTCGTTCGTTCGTTCGTTCGTTCGTTCATTTATTTATTTATTTATTTATTTATTTATTTATTTATTTATTTATTTATTTATTTATTTATTTATTTATTTATTTATTTATTTATTTGCTGTCCATCTTACCACAGGGTAACTCTGGACAGTTTTATTGTTGCTGTAAGCTGTCCAGGGTACCTTTAGATGGGCAGTCATGCAAATTTTATGAATAAATAAATGGTCTTTTGGGGGATTTTTCTCACTGCATATGATGCTAAGGACTAGGTGAAGAAAGAGTCATGCATACCATCCTATGTTTTACTTTTTATGATCTTATTGTGTTAAAGAAAGATGATTGAAGATGACTGAAGATAGATACTAGCTTTCTTGTCCTGAATGGAAGTCATTAGTGCCCAAATCATGTATACAGCTTGCCTTCAAGTATTATGAATTCAGCTACTAAAACCTTTAGTAGAATGAATAAAGAAAGGACCAAAGCCATTATCTACACCTCTTTTGCCCAGCTGCTTCAGTGTCTTGCTTTATGCAAATTTACTTTTTGTGAGGCTTTGGGAGAAATTAACTCTAGTATATAGTAACAGAAACCGACATATGATTATAGTTTAATTCAGTGGTGGGATTCAAATGTGTGAACAACCGGTTCTTGTGTGGATGCCACTTCCGGAAGTCTGTTCTGGGCCTGGGCAACAAAAAGTTAGCTACTGGTTCTGCCAAACTGGTGTGAAACTGGCTGAATCCCACCACTGGTTTAATTCATTTATTTTATTGTAAAAGTATTAATAGAAAAATTGAATGTTAATCATTCAGCTGTATGGAACCAGGTGCCATTTCCTTCATATTTACTATTTACTTTGAACATTTACACCTGCATTTGATCATAATAATGCAAGACAATATTTTCAACCAAACAGCCTTTAGTTTGCAAAAGAAGCCATGAAGGCAGAGTGAACTTTCCTTCAACACTACAGGTCAAGTGTTAATTTAAGTATATTCATTAGCCTACTTCTTTATGCACACTCTTCTGATATGTTGAAACCACAATGGTAATGATAGCCTGGAATTCTGGAAGTTGAAATACTGACTTCTGTAGAGGACACCAGATTGAAATACAATTGTATTGTAAATGCCAGCTCATCATTCTTGTTAGAAAAGTAATTCTTTATGTCTGTGCAGATGAATATAAATCAAAGAAGAGTAATACAATTTTTATATTGGGATTGAATATGATTCAAAGTGGGAATTTTATTTGACTACTGAATTAATATAAGATTATTTAAAATGACTGCATTTTTATCCAAAATTGGAAATCCCATTTTCTTAGGGTATCAGTTTTTTCCTGATATCAAATGATGAATGTAGAAAATATTAGACTTTATATATAACTGTATATAAAAAGAACTGTCACAATTTCAGCCATGAAAATATGATACTGTTCAGCCCTTCATGCTCTCTGAGCTTGGTTGCAGAAAGGATTCCACAGTTCAGTCCTGAACTACATGTATTATTATTTATTGAAACACTGTATTAGATATTCTCATATTAAAAACTGCAGGTAAAACTTTGGGACAAGAGTTTTTTTCTAGATGACCTTAGTTGTGATTAAGGAGCTATGGTGGGTCATGGTTAGAATGCAGTATTGCAGGCTAACTCTGACCATAGCCATGAGTTTGTTGCTGACCAACTCAAGATTGACTCAGTGTTCCATCATTCCAAAGTCAGTAAAATGAGGACCCAGATTGTTATGGGCAATGTGCTGACATTGTAAACTATTTAGAGAGTGCTTTACATATATATGTCTAAATGCTATTGCTATTGATAAACATATAAACATCTTTATATTTTTCATAATGAATAGGGTAATTTCAGAAGCTGTTAAATGCAGCCTATTTATGTTTGTGGAGTTACACATTACTCCACATTCTGTATCCCAAAGTTAAGACTAGAGTAATGCACAGATGTATAAAATGAACAGGGCGGTGGCATTCTGTAGAGCAGACATAAGCTTGATAAAAAAAGCAGCTGCTTTTACAATTTCAAAAGAGGAGCTTTTTCTGTGCATTTTAAGTTTTCTAAAAAATTTCTTGTGAACAGATTTATATAAAAAATGCTACCTAGTAAAATATAAAATCATCATTTTTTCCTTCTCATTAGGTGTTCTTTGGTATTCAAGTCAGGCCTCAAAATAATTACATAACATTTAGGAAGAAAGATGCAGCCCAGCAAACGAGCACTAGAGGCCAAGATGGAAAATATCTCCACTGGTACCATGTACTTCCCCTTGGTGCTCAAATAACTTGGAACAAAGGATATCCAAACACTGCAGAAGACCAATATGCTGAAGGTGATGAACTTGGCTTCATTGAAAGCATCAGGTAATTTCCTGGCCACAAAGGCAACTATGAAACTAATAACAGTCAAGAAGCCCAAATAGCTTAAGACACTGTAGAACATAGTCACAGAGCCTTGATTGCACTGCAGAATAATTTCTTCAACTACTGAATCCATGTCAGTGTCTGGGAATGGGGGAGATGTTGTTAGCCATGTCATGCAAATACCTATTTGAATAAGAGAGTAGGAAATGACAATGGAGTTTGACAGTCTCTTTCCCACAAACATTCTCATCTTGGATCCTGGCTTGGTGGCCAGGAAAGCCTGAACCACTGTGACGTTTTTGCCAACACTGAAGAAACAGCCACTGCAAAGACAATCCCAAAAGTCGTTTGTTGCAAGAGACATACCATCTTCTCAGGATGACCAGTGAATAGGAATGCAGAAAGGAAGCAGAGCAGGAGGGAGATGAGGAGAATGTAAGTGAGGTCTCGGTTATTGGCAATGATGATAGAAGTGTTGTAGTTCTTCAAAAATATTCCAAGCACCATCACTGAGAGCAAAGACAACAAAAGAACAAAGAAGACTAAACTGATTCCCAAATGTTCCTTGTAAGACAAAAATGTCAATGTTTTAGGAATACAGGAATCCCGATTCTTGTTTGGATAGCTTCCTTCTGGACACAAATAACAATCGTTTGTATCTGAAAAATGAAATAATTTTAAGACCATCTGTAGAATATAAAGTATATCAATAATATTATTTACATATTTTAAAAATATTTAGTTTTTATGCCCAATTCATTAAACAAGTATTAGTCTGTAGATTTCAACAATGCTCTAATCCTTTAAACAATCAGTTTAATGGTGGTGATGTTGAATTTGATTTCATAACTTGTGAAAAGACTTTAGAATACCAATTCCGTCTATAATTATATAGTTCTCCATATAATCTATACATTTCAACAAGATAGAATAATAATGGTCACCTGATTTGTCTTCTGCAATCCTAGTAAAGATAGTCCTCGAGTTACGACAGTTCACTTAGCAATGGTTCAAAGTTATGACACCCCTCCCAAAGTATTTACAACCCAGTCTGAAAGTTATGAACATTCAGCACCATGACAGTTATTCGCCCTTACAACCGACTGCAGAGATGCTCCAACATGCTCCCTGCCTATTTGTTGTGATTCCGTGCCATCCTGTGTTCCCAACAGCTGAGTCTGAGGAATCTGAGGAGGAGGTGGAGGAGGCCTTTGAGGGGCCGTCAGGGTCAGAGGGAGGCTCTGATGAATTACAGGACTCACGGCTTGATGAAGAGCCTGGCCCCTCCAGTCGTGTTTCTGATGAAGCTCAGCTGTGTGAGGAGCATGAGTCAGATTCGGAAGGCTCACACCTGGNAAGGGGAGGTGTGGGCGTTGCTGGTTGCTGAAGGCAACCGTTTGCAAAGTGCTTCTTGGAATCCTGGTCTGTTCGTCTTGTTTGCAACGTGTTCCTGTGAACTATTTCCTTCCTTTGGACTTGAGTTTTGCTGTTTGTGTTTTGGACTTATTGACAGGTTTGTCACCCAAATAAAAGGGATTTTGTTTTGTTTTAAAGTTTCCAGCCTATTGTATCAGCAGGGGTTTGGTCCTTGTGCCTCTAACAAGGACGGCAATAGGCTGGGGTAGAACAGTTTGCCTTCAGCCTCACCCCCTACTATCATGGAGCAGCTACGTGCTGAGAACATCCAGCTTCCTCAGCAGCTGGCTTTGTTATCTGTTCAAGTTGCTCAGCTATCTGCCCACGTTCCTGCTGCTCCTCCACCACCCAGGAGAAAATGCCAAGTGGAGAGGCCGGACAAATTTGATGGCAACCCGGACATGTTTCCTGTTTTCATGGGACAATGTTGCTTGTATATCAGTGTGAAAGCAGATGATTTCCCCACTGATCGGGATAAAGTGGGGTTTATGATAAGTATGCTCTCTGGTCCTGCAGCTCATTGGGGCACACCCTTGCTAGCCCAAACTAGTCCATTGATGGACAACTTTGTGGGGTTTTGTGAGTACATGCGGTTAATGTATGAAGACCCCATCAAGACCCAGACAGCTACCCGGCGTTTGAAGGCTCTGAGGCAAGGCCGACGCCCCCTGCAGGGCTATATCAGCGAATTTCAGCTGCTTAGCCAGGATTCAGCCTGGAATGAGGCTGCGCTCGTGGACGCTTTCCAAGATGGGTTGTCGGAGGAGATGCTGGATGAGCTGGCCCGTGTTGATATTCCCCCGGACCTTACTGGGCTCATTTATCTCTGTCTGCGGATCGACGCCCGGCTGCAGCAGCGAAGGAGTCACCGTGCCATCCCAGAGACCCGTACAGCCCCCGTTGTGAGTGCGACCCCGGTCCAGAGGGAGGAGCCAATGGAGTTAGGTGCTGCCAGACCTCGTCTATCGGTGGCAGAGATGAACAGGCGATGTTTGGGGGGCTTGTGTTTTTACTGTGGGGACCCTGGGCATTTGGCCGCTTTCTGCCCCAAGAAGCGACGAGGGGCGTCTGTGACGGAGCTTGTCCCAAGACTGCCATCGGCTCCCCTATCAGGAAATGGCCCACGCCCGACCTGAAAGGCCTTTTGGGTCGGGCGTCCCGCACCTCCGAGCCACACTCTTCTGATGCTGCCCACGGACCCCAAAAACATTTGATCTTGGAGGCGCGCCTGATTCTTCCTAAGTTGCCCAAGGGGATTCCTGTCCATATGTTGATTGACTCTGGGGCCACTACGAACTTTATAGACGCAGCATTCGTGGCTCAATGGGTGATTCCCCAATGCCCCGTGGATCCACCGATGATAGTGGAGACCATTGATGGTCGAGTGCTTCGGTCTGGGCCAATTAAGGCTGCCACGCAACCGCTATGTATGGCCAGCAGTACCCATGAGGAGGCCATCCAGTTTTATATCACCTCAGACCTGCATTTCCCTGTGGTCTTGGGAATGGCGTGGCTTCGAGCGCATGACCCACAGATCTATTGGTCACAGAACTTGGTCACCTTTCCAAGCTTGCAGTTCGTGGACCACACCCGCCACATCTGTGCTGGTCAGGTAGAGGGGCCCATGGGGGTCTCCTTACCCTCTGAATTGGCGGATTATGCTGATGTGTTCAGCGAGACGGAGGCGGATCAATTGCCCCCGCACAGGCCCTATGACTGCCCCATTTACTTAGTCCCTGACGCGCCTCTCCCAGTGGGGCATTTGTATTCCATGTTGGACCCCGAGTTGGCTGCGTTGCGGGACTTTTGGGACAAGAATTTGGCCCGGGGTTTTATTCGGCCCTCGTCCTCGCCGGGGTCTGCACCCATACTCTTCGTCAAGAAGAAGTCTGGTGAATTGCGGCTGTGCTGTGATTATCGGAAATTGAATGCCATCATGGTGCGCAACCGATACCCACTGCCCCTCATCCCCAAACTCTTGGACCAGCTACGTGAGGCAAAGATCTTCACAAAATTGGACTTGCATGGAGCTTATAACCTTGTCAGAGTTCGGTCGGGTGATGAGTGGAAGATGGCGTTTGGTACTCGGTATGGGCACTTCGAGTACACGGTGATGCCATTTGGCCTGACGAATGCCCCTGCCGTGTTCCAGCACTTTATGAACGATATTTTCCGGGACTTATTTGATCAGTTCATTGTGATATACCTGGATGACATCCTGATCTATTCCCCATCATGAGAGGTGCATCATCAGCATCTTCGTCAGGTCCTGCAGCAGCTCCGAGAACATCGGCTGTATGCTAAATTAGAAAAGTGTCAATTCTACAAGACGACTATAGAGTTCTTGGGTCACTGTATTTCTCCTGAGGGCATTGCCATGGAGCCGAGTAAAGTTGAGTCTTTGCAGAGTTGGCAACCCCCACGTCGTGTGAAGGATGTCCAGCGACTTCTTGGGTTCGCCAACTATTACCGGACTTTTATCCCCGGGTTTGCTACCATGACAGCCCCCCTTACTCAGCTCCTGCAGAAAAAGACTCGGTTCCAGTGGGACGCTCCAGAACAACAGGCTTTCCAGGCTTTGAAGGAAACCTTCATGAAGGAGCCCATCCTGAAGCATTCTGACCCGCAACGGCCATTTGTCGTGGAGACGGATGCCTCCGATATTGCCATTGGGGCGATGTTACTCCAGGCGACGATGCCCGGCGGTGCCCTCTTACCTTGCGCGTACTATTCACGGAAATTGAATCCGGCGGAGCGCAACTATACCATCTGGGAGAAGGAGCTATTGGCCATTAAAGTGGCATTCGAGGCCTGGAGGCATCATCTGGAAGGGGCGCGTCATCAAATCGAGGTCCGGACGGACCATAAGAATTTAGAGTGCCTGCACACTGCTCAGAAATTGAACCAACGCCAGATCCGGTGGTCTCTCTTCTTTGCAAGGTTCAATTTCCAGGTGATGTACGTACCCAGCGGTCACAATCAAAGAGCGGATGCTCTGTCCAGGAAGCCCGAATATTCCCTAGCAGAAGACAAGCTTCTGCCCAGGACAGTGCTCCCTATAGAGTCTTTTGCTGCAGTATGAGAGCCGATAGATATACGGACTCGGATTCGGGAGGCCCAGCAGCAGGATGGATGGGTGGCTCAGCGAAAGGAGGAGGTGGGGCCCAATTCCCCATGGACAGTCACGGATGGACTCCTCCACTATCGTGATTGGCTCTATGTTCCTGGGGGCCCGCTTAGGGGACTCATCCTCAGCCAGTGTCACGACAATCCGGCGGCGGGGCACTTTGGCCTGTTCAAGACCCTGAACTTGGTCTCCCGGACCTTCTGGTGGCCCCGAATCCGACACGACGTTCAGACCTACGTCTCCTCTTGTATTTCATGTAGGCAGGCCAAGTCAGCGACAGGGGCCCCGCCCGGCCTACTGCAGCCCTTGCCGACACCCAAACGACCCTGGGGGGCTGTGTCCATGGACTTTCTGATGGACGTACCCCCATCTTCTGGATTCATGACGGTGTTTGTGGTGGTGGACATGCTGACCAAGATGGCGCATTTCATCCCATGCCGTAGCTTGCCATCTGCCCGTGCCACCGGTCGCATGTTCAGCTAGCAGGTGTTCTGGCTACATGGTCTTCCTGATAGGGTCGTGTCCAATAGGGGGGCCCAGTTCACAGCCCGTTTCTGGCAGGGGTTGATGCAGGCATTAGATGTCAAGATCTGCCTTTCGTCCGCACATCATCCCCAAACTGACGGAGGGACCGAGAAGGTCATTGGAATCCTGGAACAATATCTGTGCTGCTATGTCAATCAGCAGCAGAACAATTGGGTGGACTATCTGGCGGTGGCTGAGTTTGTGTTCAATAACTCCCAGCACACCTCCACGCAGATGACCCCATTCTTAGCCAATGTGGGCTATCACCCTCGGTTTTTCCCTCTTTCCCCATTAGA